CCCCCCCCCCCCCAGTAAGACGTCATACTATTAGACTGTGTTTGGCGATATCAATTAATTAATGTAATCTGTAATTGGCTTGTAGTAGGTTGAGTAAAACTATTACAAGGCTATGTTGAAGATTATGCATATCTTTAAATCTTGACATTGATGTTAGAATTTCGTGTTTTTTTTTTCTTCCCAAAAGCGACAACGGAACTAAGACTTAGTTTGACTTTTAGAATTTTTTGTGTGTAAGTAGTCGAACTTTTACCTTCAACATTTGAGACAAATCATGTTTACCTTTACTTTTACCTTCACATTTGTATTTTTTTTCAGATTTGTCTGTCTCTATATGTATCTCACAGACAATTAGCCTATAGCCCATTATAATTTTATAACACATTCCGACCAAAAATATGAAAGCTTAACCTGATCTCAAAATCGCTTTTTCCTTTAAAAACCATTTCACTCAGCCTGCAATTTCTCAGTACAAAAATAACACACACAATCCAAGTTTAACTAATGTGATCTTATGGCGACCTTGTCGCTGAGAAATGCACGAACAGAAACAATGTTGCATTTCACGCTGACCATGAGAAGATGTAAACGCGACGGACGATCATGTTTGATTGCTAAATCCTGCCGCGCGCGCATCGATGATCTCCAGCCCGCTTACTTCTGTCTGCTCGGCGGCTCACGGCGCTGTTCTATGAGTCGCTGTTGTGACACAGTTAGGAGTGTGTGTCGTTATCTAAGTAAGAGTATGAATATTACAAATCAACCGTTTTACACACAAGCGTCAGAATATATTAGCAGACGTGCTGTTTATTTGTGTGTCAGAGGAAACGCGTGGAAATGTGGAGGAAATCGAGCTAGTAATTCGGTTTTAATAGTTTTTATAACCTTTATAGACGCAATTTTCATAATTACGTTTCTACGTTCTCCCGTTTATGTTATTTTCCTTCATTAAACAAGGCACTTGATCTGTAAACAGTGGAGGTGCATCTAACGCTAGTTTCGCATAGTTTTATTAAGGTTTGGGATTTAGTACATTATATGAACGGATGCAAATTCTGATGCGCATCCTGCGTTTTTAACACATTTCTTGCCTTATGCATGCGTTTTATGTTCTGCCGCTTTCTTTTCAACTTCTGTTACTGTGTAGCAGACCTCAAATAAGAAAAATCGATAATTTTATGTTAAATTGCATGAGTGTGCATGCGTTTTAATTAAAAAACAGAGTGTTCACAGCTTAGAAAAATGTAATTTGCATCCTTATCAGGCATGTGCGTGATGTGTGGCTTGAGCGACTGAATCACAGTGATGGCATAACATTTCTGTTATCTGAGACAGGTGTTTGTGCCCTACAGTCAATGCCTTCCTACTGTTTACCCCAGCGAGCGGAGTGAACATGGGCCGTCGCTCGTCAGACAGCGAGGACAGCAGGAGGAAGAGGAGGCAGAGAGGCCGTTCTTCATCCTCTAGCTCCTCTGGCAGCAGAGTGACCAGCCCCAGCAAACACTCCAGCAGACGAACGCGCTCCAGAGACCGAAACAGAGCCACAGACAGGAGGTAGACACTGAAGAATGAAATATATATATAAAAAAAAGTTTGTCCCTGTAATCTTTCATCAAAAAATGTAATAACTTGCTCCTGCTCTGAAACAATTTTCTTGTTTGACTGACATCACAAGCTCCCTGCCATGCACCTGTCACATACAAGCTCTAAAGCAGTTATTCAGTTTGCATCCCTATTCATGTCAATGCCAGTTGCTCGGCTGGCACATTGAGCCCAGAAGGAAAGTGCACTAAAAAACAAACAAAAAAATCACTTTGAAACTGATGTTTTTGACATCCCGTGGTAACTAGGATTTACACAAGCTTCAGTCTGGATCCAGAACACCTGAGAAGAGATGATGCCAACCCCTCAGAGGACCTCAGATGATGCCAACCCTGAAACAACATACAGAACTACCACATTTTGCTATAAACTTGAATTGAATTGATGTCCTGACAGCGTTGATCGGCTGATGTCACCGTGAGAATTCACACAGTTTTGAAACCCCTCGTTATCAGTACCTGTATATTAAAGGGATAGTTCACCCAAAAATGAAAATGTGATGTTTATCTGCTTACCCCCCAGTCAATGGGCTCCACGGTTTCGAGAGTAAAAAAAAACATACACCGACAAAACCAAATTAAACCCTTTATATCGTTTTTTACCTCTGATCTTAGCGCGTTCACAACATCCGGCGCATGATGCGTGTACGTGCTCTGGCATAGTAGACATAGATATATATAAGTAGATGCCTCACTAGTGACTGTTTCTATGGGCCGCGATACGTTCCAAAATGGCGGACGCATCACCGTATCTAGAGCGGTCGAATAGGGCATCTATACATATCTATGGTAGTAGACGCATGTGCGGAAGCGATCTGTCGTGCGTATACGTCACTCATTATTTACACAGTGCAGAGGGATTGCGTACGTGTTCACTGGCACTGTGATGATCTAAAGATATTTAGAAGTACAGGTCATCACAATGGAAGACGATTTTGATATATCATCAGACAACGTGGAATTTTTTGCCCGACCGTATTTATTTGACGTCACGTGCCGGATGTTGTGAAAGCGCTCAGGACAGTTCGGACATTGCGGTGTATTAGAGGTAAAAAACTATATAAATACTGTTCAGTTTCTTGCACAGACTGATCGTTTTGTGTCTTAAGACCTCAATGTATCATCACGAGCCGCAGGGTTTAATTTGGTTTTGTTTGTATATGTTTTTTTACTCTCGAAGCCGTGGAGCCTATTCACTTCCATTATATGACTGACAGACTGCAAAGGTTTGAGTTAAAAATCTCAGTTTGTGTTCTGCTGAAGAAACAAAGTCACCTACATCTTGGATGCCCTGGGGGTAAGCAGATAAACATCACATTTTCATTTTTGGGTGAACTATCCCTTTAAACCTCTTTGCCACAGGCAGGGTTTCTGCACGTCTTCAAAAGTCTTAATTCGCATTTTCACAAATTAAGGCCTCAAAAGGTCTTAAATAGGAGCAGAAAGTCTTGTATTTATAAACTCATATGAAAAATGAATATCTTCCTCAGTATTTTTATGTCTTAAGTTTTCCATAAACATTCTTAAATCAAGATAAGTTTACTTGAGATGCAAATTGAACATATGAAGTCTTGTTTTCTGAGAAACTGCAAAATTGAGTAAATTAATGCTTAAAACAAAAACAAATGTTTTCCCTTTGAATTAAATAGATTTTTCTGAACTTATTAGCAGATATTTGATCTTGTTTTAATCATAAAATCACTTTTCGATCAGTTTTTCATAAAATCAGTCTTCTTATCTTGCTTCTGAAGTAAATGTATTTCAATTAAATTTTTTTAATTTTCAATTTAAATTTTTTTTTTTTGTCTATTGGAAGTTGTATTTTCAAACTTTGAAACATTGCTAATGACGTGTTGTGTTCAATTTATTCCTTACATTTTATTTATTTGGTCTCAGATTTACCTTCATAAAACTGAACATTCATCCATCTTCACTCTTACCTTCAGTCCCTGAACCTGCTGCTCCAAACAGACACGTGCAGTTTGTCGAAGCCAGACGTTGCTTTATGCAGTCACTTAGCACTGTCTGCCTGACTTAAATTATTCATGACGCTTGCTCGGTTGCCATTATATGTGATGGGAAATAGTTGCTCTCACAGAAAGAAGGATGTCTGTGGAGGTCAAGCAGCTAAACAGACTGCTGTTGATCAGTCGTTGTTGACCGTATCCACACGTCCATCTGTCAATCTGTTGAGTTGTTAAGTGGCCTCGTCTGTGTAGATCTGCAGGTGTTTCATGCCCTCTTTAAGCTCACCTGAAGAGTGTAAATCATCGCTCTGTTTGTCCGACCGGTGGAGCTGTGCTGAGCTTCTGTAAACTAAAAATGATGTAAGACTGAAACATCTTATACTGAGACTTTCACTTTTGTGATTCGGATTGTAAATATGTGTATAACATGGGATATAACACGGTGTTGTTCAGACTGATGCAGTAAATACACTGCATACAGTATGTGGGTGTATTTCAGGTGGCTTTAAAACACCTCGAGACCGTGATGAAAGTGTCATATGGTGGTGTACGGCATTATGCAAAATGCATTTTTCTTGCACCTTGCATTTATGCGAGTGCTTCCATCTTAATCATTATTTTCCACTTTTAAACATATTTTTCAAGTTATAATGTATATTTTCTAAATGTTGTGAATTAATAATTAATAAATATCCTGATAATTAATAAATATCATAATAAATAATAAAAAACCTGAAATAAACTTAATCATAAAAAAGTCAAATTATCCTCTCTATGATATTTTGTTTTATGTGTTTATTTTCTTCATGAGTCTTCATGTTGTGCATGACTTTGATTTAGTGAGCAAAAGCTTAATTATAATTATGCCATAAATTCTTAATAAATTCAGTTTATAAATTCTAGTCTCTACATTGTTAATACATTAAAATACTGTGTACAAATAGTGAGTCCTTCATTGTATTTTACAAATTATTATAGTTTAATTAGCTTATATGTAAAGAGTTTGATAATGTTTTTATCCTTTGTTTTCTACTTGTATAATAACTCAAACTGATGTATTTAAACATGTATGTGATCTCATGAGTATTTGTATTTCTTTTCTGTAACATACATTTACTTAGATTTGCACAGACATGAAAAAATACAGTATTTACGTAATTATTGTCAGTGCGTTTTTTATTACATTCATTACATTTTTGTATATTTTTTGAAAAGTTTAATACTTTTTACATATAAGTTTAATATTTCACACACCACACACACATACACATTTATGAATGAATAGACAGACAAAACAAGTGTCATGTCATTGACCCATATGCTGTCAGAACAGTCTTTAAGAGCAGTCTTTTTTTGCAGATGCAATTCATTCCTCATGCTCTGTAAAACAGCACAAACATGAACTTTCTCCTCGCTTGCTGACACAGTGATGCAGAGAGACGGCCCGCTGCCTGAGCCACTGCCACTAAAGCTTTAGAGGTATGCAGCCGGGTGCCATCAGATGCAGAAATGCATAATAAATTTAATTATGGTTTTTAGATAAACATTTTATTCATTCATGACGTGGGGAATGGGGTCACGCTTTTGATTTAGCTTTTGAAAGTGGCTCTAAGAAGTCGTGATCTATCAGCTAGAGTAGAGAATAGGGAAGTTGACAGCTGCTCATTGGAGAGAAAACAGAGAGGGAAATAGAGTTGATTAGTTCAAATAATGCAGTCAGACGGGTCTATATTCATGATGTCAGCCTTTCTAAACATAGTGCAGAGAGTCATGCTGGCTGACTGTACACAGATGTCTGGATAGTTCATCCAAAACTAATCGAAACATTTTTGGGTGAACTATTTCTTTAAAAATGTGATTTTTTTAAATTTATTTTTAGAATGTAAAATATTTTTATTTTCCCATTATTATCTACATATCAGGGTTTTTGTGGGTCTTAAATCAGAGCAAAAAGTCTTGAATTCATACAGTCTTGGCTTCTATTGTTGCATGCATTGCAAAAAATAAAATAAAAATAATAATACCTTCCTCAGTGTTTTTGTCTTGTCTACCAGTCCAAATATTTAAACTTCCTTAAATGCATTTACTTGAGATGCAAAAAGAGATGATTTTTCTGAAAAATGTAAAAAAAAATGAAGCAAGTTTCCGCTTAAAAGAAGAGTAAACATCTGTAAATGTGGTGTGAAAACTTCATTTCCCTTTGAATTAATTGTATTGCCCTGAGCCCAATGACAGATATTAGTTCTTGTTTTAATCATAAACTCATTCCATGTTGATCAGTTTCTCATAAAACAAGACTTCATATTTTAAGTCATTTTGCTTCTTAAGTAAATGCATCTTGATTTAAAAATCTTTACACATTTGCACTGGAAAACAAGACAAAAATACTAATCAAGAACGGCACTTTTTGCTGTGTTTTCAAAAAAGTACAGCTAAAGTTATCTCCATTTTCTAGTTAAGGCATATTTTTTATTGATAAAATGAATGAAAAAGTAATGGAGATCTATTGGAAGTTGTTAAACTTTGAAGTGTTGCCAATACAATTTTGTGCTTCCTAGACTTCCTAGAGAACATTCACATATTCAATCTGGTTCTTAATTTTTCTTCACTTGCTCTTAAAAAGGTCTTTAAAAAGTCTTAAATTTACCATCAGAAACCCTGACAGATTCAACTGTATGTAAAGCTTTCGTTGGATAAGAACCTAAAGAGTGTAAACGCGTTTGCTGGTCTGGGAATTTCTGTTTGTTCAAGCAATGGCAGAAGGGACAGTGTTCATGAAATCTGTTTGAAAAGTTGACATTTATACACTTTATAGCTGAACTCTGAAACATGCTGACACCTCTATGAATATAACACAGTATGCAGTGAGAGTGTGTTGTGTTGGTCAGACAGATGCAGTAAGGAAACCACACACACTCTCTCTCTCTCTCTCTCTGTGTGTTTAATGGGCTCTTGTTACTGGTGTTGCAGGCACAGAAACCGCTCCAACAGCAGCTCCTCCAGAGGGTCCAGTCACAGGAGGAGGAGCCGGAGCACAGATGGGGCGGAGCCGAAGCACAGACAGGAGGCGGAGCCGAAGCACAGACAGGAGGTGGAGCCGGAGCACTGATGGGGCGGAGCCGGAGCACAGACGGGGGCGGAGCCACAGGTCCCACAGGTCTCAATCCCGCAGCTGCAATAGAAGGTAAGCACAAGCGCATTATGATGACTGTAAGTAGTTATGTAAATAACTGGTCCTTAGCATTGGTGGAATGAATGTAAAAAGACTTCATTTACCTTTCCAAAGTAAATAGTTTTGCTTCTTAGAAGAAAACAAGTGATTATACTGTTTTAAATGGTTTTGAGTAGGAAACTTCAGGTCATTTTATATGTAAGTCAATCATATGAAGCAACGTTAAAATTTTGTGAGTGAATTTTCATGCACTGTTTGTGCTCATTATGAATCATTGCGCAATCATAGTTATGATTTTTTTTTACTGGTGGACAATAGAACAGACCAAAAACACTGAAAAAAAAAAGAGGAGTAGGATTTACTTTGAAACTGTTTTAACCCTTGTGCGTTCTTAGGGACAATTTTGTCTTTTTCTTTTTTTTTTTGGCTGCAGTGTTAATGCAAGCACTATAAATGTTGTCAAAGATGTGTATTTTTATTGATATTTTAATATTTTACTCTCATTTCCTTTAATAAATCTATTACTCTATGTACAAAAAATAGATACAATCAGGACAATATGGACAAAAATGTCCCCATTAAAACAGCAATATTTAATCCCAGTGCCATTTAATCATAAAATCATGCATTCTTTGTTAATTATTTTTACTATTTTTTTGTAATTCTTACTATTTTCCACGTGATAGCACAATTTTCTGCAGGTTTGGCCTATGGAGCAAGTTTTTTTTTTTCTGTCTTCTGCTTCTGCTAAGATTTGAATTTGAATTGGAAATGTTGTAATTATAATTGTGTTGATGTATTCATGTGGATATCAGAGGTTTGTGTGAATGGTAGTTTGTTTATTTATTTGTTTATTTAATTCTTACATTGCACTAAAATAATAACGCATCAAAATTATTGATTAGCATGTAATGTGTCTTGGGGGGAAAAATCTTAGCATTTAATATATGGAAGTTAATAGATTTGTGTGTGTGTGTTTGTGTGTTTCTCCCATAAAAACAATAGTGGTATTACGTAAAAAACAAACAAACTGGTATTTAAAGGGTTAAAATCCTGAAAATGAATGAATTTTTGGTAATTATGATCAGGACTAACGTTAGTAAAAAGATCAATGACAGTGAAAGCGGAAAAAAATATAAATATATATATTTTTATGACCTCTGTGTAACTTTTTCAAATTGATGCTCAAGGGTTAACAAAAAATAAATAAATTTTTTAATAGTGCAGGTACAGACTTTTTTTCCCCATGAAATGTTATTTCTGTACAAATCAAATGCCACTTTTATTTATTTGCTAAAAACACAAGTCGGCCACATCATCATCATCATCAGCAGCAGCAGCAGCAGTGATTTTCTTCTCCAACATTTGGACTCAGATGCTAACATGTGCTTGGTTAATTAGCGTATGACAGGTTGCCATTAAAGACCTTCTGTTCGCAGAGCCACTCTTGTCCAGCGCACACAGATACTCACACTCATTACAGGGGTTATTAGTGTCGATTATTATTGTTTTTGTCTGTATTAATTAAGTACTGGCACAAGCACCCTTGGGTCAGTCCACATTTGTCTGCCCTTGTGCCTGTTTGGAGCTCGGAAGAAAACGGGGCACTTAGGTTGATGAATTAATGCAGCTAAAATATGATTATCCATCGGCTGTTTATTTCATTTTTTATTTAAAGTAAACTCTCATGCACACAGGAATAAGAACAGTAGGCTTTTTGTTTTTAAAGGTAGGCTATTGCATTACCATTGCAAATGTGTGCAAATGAAGGAGAGTTTTGTTGAAGGCTTTAGAAGTGTACGGATGGCTTTCATAATGCATACAGGCTAAAGCCTTTGTTTGCTTGTGTTCGGCTGTAGGAGATGCTGGCATCGTTTAAATAAGCCGGCAAATCTTTCATTCATATCTTAGTTAGATTGACACAGATTAACAGGGTTTATAGCATCAGGGCCATGTTGAATTAAGGGTTAAATTGGGTGCCGATTCAGCATTTTATATGGTAACTCTTACCTTATGGGAATGAGATTATCTGACGTGAAATAATTTAGTTATGAACTGCTGAAAATAGTAGCTAACATCTGGACTGATAACTAGAAGGTGACTGCATCGGTCCTCTCAAGGATGCTGCTTAAGGATGCTTAAGTTAAGGTGACTTGGATGAAAGCATTTGCTAAATAGCAAAACTGTTTTATAAAGTTTAGGCGATGAAGAAACGTGAAGCTTTTTCACAGTCTCTGGCCTGCGAGTCTGTATGATGTCAGAGTTCGGTTTGTTTAGTTTATGTGAAAGCTGTTTTCTGAACGTAATAGATTTATTAGTTTCTCACTGTTGACTCCTGAGGTCATGTTTGGCACCGATGTATTCTGTAATTCCAGTCTCTATTTGAAAACAGATGGAAAAGGAACAAGAATATGGTAAATAATTAAAAGATTCGGCACACGATGGCACTGCGCAGGCTGACGTGTGTTTAGTTTTGAAACTCAAACACAAATCCTTGCATTTGTCATGTGTTCATTATCAATTACACTGGATAGATATTACAGGCATTATTTCTCTTGGTTTTAGGTAACTTATTAGGGCTTGAGGATTAGGATTATAAATTTTAATCAAATTAATTACACATTGTCATTTAAATAGTCTAATTAATAGCATATTAATCGCACATCAAATTTGTCTGAGACTCACCCCCAAAAGATCATTTATATTGTGTTACACAAGGTAGATATTACAAAATGTAGCTTTAAAAAAAAAAATATATATATTTGTTTTTTTGGGTGAAATGTCCCTTTAATTATAAATAGTTTTTTATTTTTATTTTCAGATTTTTTTATTATTATTATTATTATTATGTATAGTTTTTTAATGAAATTGTACTCTAAATAAAAAACTAGAACTGCCAGTGAGTGGTGGTAAATGTCTTAAAGAATAGGTCATTCATTCATTCATTCATTTGATTCGTTCAAAATTTGATGATTCATTCAGGAATGAAGTAAAATGACTCTCTTTATGAACGGGCCATTGAATAATTGGTTCACATGATTCCAGACGCACAACAGTTCTGCAGTGACTTTAATAGGTAATATATACATTGGCAAAATTGACAATATTGTGTCTAAAATATAACAATATTAAGTTCTTATTAATTGAACTGTTGCATAAAAAGATATATTTGTTTTTTTGGGCGAAATGTCCCTTTAATTATAAATAGTTTTTTATTTTTATTTTCAGATTTTTTTATTATTATTATGTAAATGTGAAATAGTTTTTTAATGAAATTGTACTCTAAATAAAAAACTAGAACTGCCAGTGAGTGGTGGTAAATGTCTTAAAGAATAGGTCATTCATTCATTCATTCATTTGATTCGTTCAAAATTTGATGATTCATTCAGGAATGAAGTAAAATGACTCTCTTTATGAACGGGCCATTGAATAATTGGTTCACATGATTCCAGACGCACAACAGTTCTGCAGTGACTTTAATAGGTAATATATACATTGGCAAAATTGACAATATTGTGTCTAAAATATAACAATATTAAGTTCTTATTAATTGAACTGTTGCATAAAATCACTATCACATTTGTATTCGTGCTGCTTGGGACAAAAACAGCACTCATGTGATACTGCACTTGTTGCTCGTGTGATATTGCTTAACTATATCACATGATATAAATATGAAGCAAAAACTCAAACAGGGACATTTTTTTATTTTAGGGGCATATAACCGCATTCTATAGGCTACATCACACAGTGAGTTGTTGCCTTGCATCATAACTAATTAATTAGATTAACGTGTTAAATCGACAGCCCTATACAAAGTGTATTTCCCGTAGCACTTTAGTTTAGGGACCAGTTCTCACTAGTTGCTTATTATCATGCATATTTCTAGCATATTGGATGTTATTAGCACTTATAAAGCACATATTAATGTCTTATTCTGCATGTCCATATTATAGATCTCTTAATCCACCCCTGAGCTCAGTTTATGTTTTATAAAGAAGTCTCTTCTGCTCATCAAGCCTGCATTTATTTGATAAAAAATACAGAAAAAACAGTAAAATTGTGAAATATTATTACAGTTTAAAATAACAGTGTTCTATTTTAATATACTTTAAAATATAATTTATGTCTGTGATCAAAGCTGTATTTTCAGCATCATTACTCCAGTCTTCAGTGTCACATGATCTTCAGAAATCATTCTGAAGTCTTTACTGTCACTTTTTATCAATTTAACACATCTTTGTTGAATAAAAGTATAATTTCTTTCAAAAATAGAAAGAAAAAAATACTGACCCCAAACATTTAAACGGTAGTGTATATTGTTGGAAAATATTTCTATTTTAAGTAAATGCTGTTCTTTTTTAACTTTTTATTCGTCAAAGAATCCTGAAAAAGTATAACAGGTTCCAAAAAATATTAAGCTGCAAACAGTTTCCAGCACTGATAATAAATCAGCATATTAGAATGATTTCTGAAGATCATGTGACACTGAAGACTGGAGTAATGATGCTGAAAATACAGCTTTGATCACAGAAATAAATTACATTTTAAAGTATATTAATATAGAAAACAGCTATTTTAAATTGCAATAATATTTCACAATTTTACTGTTTTTTTTTTCTGTATTTTTGATCAAATAAATGCAGGCTTGATGAGCAGAAGAGACTTCTTTAAAAAGTAATAAAAATCTTACTGATCCCAAACTTTTGAACGGCACTGTAAACTTAACAACTACCTGACTAACTATTAATTAGCAGCAAATTAAAAGTTTATTGAGACAAAAGTCTTAATTAATAGTGAGAATTGGTACCCAAACTAAACTGTGACCATATTTACTGTATGTGTAACATTTTCATTCAGCATCTTTAAGTTAGGGGTGGCACGATACCATTTTTTCAGAACCGATCCCGATCCGATACCAAAAGTTCTGAGTATCGGACAATACTGATACCAATCCGATACCAGCACAGTTTTTTTTATTTTTTTATTTCTATAACTCAGTGTGTGTTGAC